TCAAACTCACTTTTCAACCATTTCCCCATCAATTACATTTCTCTAGTATTCTTAAAATTTATCCTCAACCAAACGCCTCGTTAAAGATAATGCAATTCAACCCTTCTTATATTGAGTTGCAAATTAAATAACAAGGTATTAACTCCACCTTAAAGGTTTAATGCACCCCAAATAGTTGATCCAACGAGTCTATATAATGCACCCAAATGAATTATGACTTAGCCTATTTTCATTAAACCGAGACAAATTACAATTAATTAAAGCCCACTTGAATTAAAAAATTATAACACTCAATGCATGTCGGAGTTCAACCTAGGGCGTCCGCCGGAGATCCAATCCAAACCAACCATAATTTTTATAATTAAGACTATATTTACGAAAAAAGTATTTCAAAAACTGAATATATTATAAGTTCCACCTTATTGTTAGGTTTTTGAACGAATGTGGTGGTATAACTTATAATTACCACAACCGATCTTCAAACGTACTAAGAAATAAATTTGAATTAAACAAAGTAGAGTCACTTATTTTTTTTAATTAGTGAAGCTTAGATCAAGTTTATTTTGTTAAGTTAGACCTGAGTGATGTCAATAGATTAAGCTCACCCCACGTACTCTTAAAAAGAACTCGACCCTGAACCATGTGTAACAAGTTTTAATTTGACCTTTGAAAAATGTCTGATTCTTTTTAAAATTAAATTTTAATTTTCAAAAATGAAATGTGTTATTATTAACTTGTTTATTTACTCATATGGATGGCAGGTTAATTATATGACTCAAAATTATACATGAAATGTAGTTTTTTTTTTATTAAGTTAAACCTAAAGAAATTGATTTATTTTTTTTAAATTTTTTTTTTTTTAGCTTAAAAGTTACTTAAAAGCACATATTTTAAGAAAATTATCTATGTCTCTATCTTTATAACTCTTCATTAAAAAAATACATATTCAAGAAACACAGATAAGAGCTTAAAAAAAACTCCTAATAGGAGCTTTTAGCTTTCAATTTTTTTTTTTCATTATAAAAAAAAAAGCTTTTCATTATAAGAACTTTTTCCAAAATCTATTTAGTCTAGCTTATGTGTAGTTTCTAACTTAAAAATGAGAGAATCCAGCACTAAGTTGTGTCAAACTAGAAAGCAACACGTGTGAAAATAAAGAAAATGAAAAAAGCCTTTTAAGTTGAGAGACCCAGGAAAGTAATTTGCATGAAGATTGAGTTGCCCTTTGGGATGCAACAAAATTTTCATATCAGGGAGCTAACCCACATGCAAAGGAGGTCGCAGGAAGGGAAATCCTTTAAGCTTAATTATGCTAGGCCCAAACCTTTTAGCTTGTTTTGCGACCTAATCGAGTCTGCAATTTCTTAGAATATTTTTATCGGTAATTAAAGTTAATATTATCAAGCCATTAGCCATATAAGAAAAATATTTGTCATTTTTAAATGATATAAATTATGTCATTTCACTCTCATAAAGAGGTGAGACTCACACTTTTATTTTTTTTTTGTTCACTCTCTCTTCCATGATTTATTTCTTCTCTCACTTAAAATAACACACACATTTCTCCAATTATATTGGGAGAATTGTTTCTCCTACAGGAAAAAAAAATCCCCTTCCTGCAGACACAACAAATTGTACTTTTTAGGTTTTTTTTTCTAGATTTAGTGTATCTCCATTGTCTGGAGATAACTTATATCCAGTGGTCTAAAATAATATCGTTTTGGAGTTGAGAAAAATGTATTTTTGTAATTCTTATTTGTTTTAATTTTATATTAGTTTTTATTATTTTAATTTTTTTAATCCTAAAATGATGTCATTTTGATTTTACTTGAAATAATTTTATCTTCGATGACCGAAGAAATATATATATATATTTTTATATATAAGTCAATGGATACTATGTGTCAATGAATCAACAGGAGAGTTAATATTTTCTCCGGTTAGAGGAGAAAATATTAACCATGTATATTTTAATTTTTTTTAGGGAAATGATAGTCTCATGCTACATAAGATATCTATCTCATGTCATACACCCATAGAATTTTGTGCCAATCTTTTCTTTTCTTTTCTTTTTTCTTTTCTTTTTAAATTGTGGACCCCACATATTTGTATCACCCACATGAGATAGTACTCTCATGTAACATGAGATTAATAAACCCTTTTTTTTTTATGTTATCATGAAATCTTATTTTTGGTAACATAGCAGTTGTTGGTGGCGGAATACAAATGTTCTAGTTTATTTCTTCACTGACTAAACTGGAATTTGAGAGATGGAAGCAAAAAGGAACATGTATAGAACAAATTATGCTAGCCATCTTTCTTAGGAAGCTGAGTTTTTGCCTATCAAAAGCTTTTCTTGGTGCCAAAATAGCTTACTGGGTCAATTAGACTCACTATGCCCAAGCCACAGTGAGCATCACACATGTTCTTTCACCAAAATTGTGATCGCACACCACAAATTTTTAATGAAAGCAACAAGCTTTTTTTAATAAACTACATGTATTCTTCACAGAAGATAATTCTATTTAAGTTGGAAACACTCATATTATAGTGAAGTTAGCTCTTTAAAAAAGAACTTTTTGCATTCAGAAGAACTTAAACCTAAAACCTTATTTAAGTGAAATCAAACATATACCACTTGAATCAACTCCCTTTGATATAAAGAAAGCAATAAGTAAGATGAAAGGAGTGATATCTAATAAGTCGAAGGGTAATGTTGAAAAAATTCTTATATAATTTGAAAAAATTCTAATAAATACGTACTACAAAATTTAGATATATGCTATCAGATTTATTTTATAATACTTAAGTCATCGAGTATTCTCACAATACATAAAAAGTTATCCATCTAAAGAGTGAAGTTCCAATAACTAATTTACATAAAGTGGTAGCTAACTTGATCTCAATAATGTTATTAAATTCATAAATGGGTTATAGCGAATTATAGGTGTACTTTAACAAGGCTGTCAAGGCACATTTTAGGGATGACCCGAATCTCTCCAAATAAAAGATGAAGGATGCATGAAGACTTTCATTACAAATGAAAATAACTAAAACTTTAAGAGATCTTAAGGGAAAAAAAACTCTTGTATATTGGATTGATCTGTGAACATTGAGAACAGTGATCAAAATGTCATTGTTCATCAAATTTTTTATCCAAATGTCACGCGAACAGTGTTATTTCTTAATATGCCACGTGGACAAGTTCGTTGGGTACTATAGCAAACTCGGTTTGCTAACGTGTCACGTTTCCAGTGGACACAAGTAACAAGTTGACTACTGGAGGTAGCAAACTTGTTGGAATGTCACGTTTTTCAATTTTGCATTCTAACCAAGTTCGCTACCTCCAGATTCTAACCAAGTTCGCAACCTCCAGTAGCAAACTTGGTACTTGTGTCCACTAAAAATGTGACACGTCAGCAAATCGAGTTTGCTGCAGTGCCCAACGAACTTACTCCAGTGACATATTAAAAAATAACACTGTTCGCGTAACATTTGGATAAAAAACTTAGTAAACAGTGATATTTTAATAGGTGTTCCTAAACATTGTGTGGATTTGCAATAAAAAATGGTTTAGGTGTGATAGTGAATTAGTGATACCTGTTGTGTATTGAGTAATAACCATCCAGGGTGTGAAAGTGGTTCTAATAAGCATCACTTTAGTGGACCATGGGCTTTCAATCTCGAGCTGGAAAGTTTTTAATGGGCTACTATTCCAGCAAAGCAAAACCAAAGTTAATTAAAGCAGGCCAAGTGTTACAACCTCCCTAATTATGCTTCTTTTGATTTACTTTATGCGATTGCCATCGATACTTGATACCGATTCTGATTGACACGCAGAAAAAATATATATAAATTATAAAAAGCAAGTTATTTGTCCAAAAACAAAAGAAAATATTGAAAAGATTATTTACACCACGTGGCATTACCAGGACGAGAATTTGATGTCGGCTGCACGTGGCGCACCACTAGAAGATCCTATCATATCCTATACATTTTTTTTTGGGAAACAATCATATCCTATACAATAACAATTAACATTCTTATATACATATTTTGAATTTGATTTTGATGATCTATAATCACGTCATGGTATAACGACTTTCAGAAAATATGATTATTTTTTCAAATTAATAAATATTTCATGAGAGGTTATATTAACAATTTTTTTCTTACTACTAAATTTTAACCGTTGATTTTTGTCAATTTAACAGTTATAATTTATTGAATCACGCTTATTAATTAATTAATAAATTTTAACATAATATAAAAAAAATCCAGCTATTTATCGATAGTGTCAGGTCTTGAGGTACCGTATTTTTTAAATTTATTTATATTTAAAAAATATTTAATTAATTAAAAAAAAAATTAAGCAACTGTGAGAGCTGGCAACTGTGAGAGCTGGCACACGTGAAGGGGCGGTTAGAACATGGGATGGATAAAAAAAAACCCATGAAGCATGGCTGTATCGTCGCCGTTGCTTCTCATTAGCGTGGCAACCTACGAGCCGTAGATGTTTTCACACTCTCTCAAGTTACCTTTGACTTTTATTCTCTGTTCAATGTATTTCACTACCACGTGCCACCATAAATACTCGCCCCATGTCGACCGTTTACGGATACCGTGACTGAGCTGTCCCATTCTTCCAGGAATCCAATGGATATATAACCGTTACTTTTAACAATAAAAAAAAAAAAAAATTAGTGTTTTATTTAAATTATTATAAAATCATAGACTAATAGATATTTATAATATTATATACAATAAAAAATAATAGGTACATAATGATTTTATTTTAGGAGAATACGCAACAATTTTTTATGTTGAAATAATAGTTTCACATTGGCATAATGGGCTAACGGCATTATCGGACGCTGAGTATACAAGGTTAAGCAACCGCGTGGTTGTTTCGAACACAAAGATGCCACGTGGGTCACAGTGTGCATATGTGGCTTATAAATAAGCATCCAGCACCCCACACTCCTCTCACAAGTTACAAAAACACATTAAAGGTTAAGAGTAGCACATTCGAATTCGAATTGTTCCACTTGCATTTTGCAAAAAGCATCAACTTCCAAAGAAACTCAGAGTGACAAAAAATGGGCACAGCAACATGCATAGACATCATCCTCGCCATCATCCTGCCTCCTCTTGGAGTCTTCCTCAAGTATGGCTGCCAGGTAAATATTCAACCATATATATTACTTGTGCTACGTTACTTCTTTATTGTGTATAATTGAATTGTAGAGTGTGTGATTAATAAAACACATGGTTTATTTTCTTGGATGCAGGTTGAATTCTGGATCTGTTTGGTGCTTACCATTTTGGGTTATATACCTGGAATCATCTATGCTATCTATGCAATCACCAAGTGATATCACTCTTTAGCTTTTGTAAGTAACCCTTTTCATATACAAGTTCGCCCTTCTTTCAGGATTTGGAATTAATTATCTTATTTTTCTTTTAAAAACAAATATTTACTTCGAGGAGTTCTAGGTTTGAGTATTTTTGAGGACATGTCATATGATATTTGTAGTAAGTTTCAAGGAGTATAAGCTCTTGTACTTGAGCATTCTTTACCCTTTTAACTGTCCAAAGAATGAAATTCACATGGATTATAATCTTTTTTTCCTAAAAAATAAAATAAAATCCCACAATATCATCGTTCAAGAGAATATTGGTTATAATTGAGAAAGAAGACAAAATTTTAGGGAGTGTGTGTGTGTGTGTGAATTTTACAAGCTTTGGGTATTAAAGGAATGTTGATCTCCCTTGCACTGATTTGATGCTCTTTTCTTGTGCTAATAATTGTGATTAAAGGAATGTCAAGTGGGCTTTGCTTTGCTTTACTTTTACTTTTGTGGTGGACAGGACCTCCTAATTTCGCTAATGAAATGATTTCTTTTGTTGACAGGTTAACAGTGAATAATTGTCAAGGGTGATTCTGTTTTTCAACTCTGATATTGATGTTCCTTTGTATCCGTTTGATCTTTGATGGAAAATACTGATCCTCCTTACCCAAAAAAAAAAAAAAAAAAACAGTATATCATTTTCATTGTCCATTTTCTAATGTTTTTGTTTATACCATCTGTTTGTTTTTAGCTTACGCGAGAGTGGAGTGGGTAGCTTAGTCTCTACATTTGGTATTCGATTTGAAATATTGTTCTGTATCAACGATCTTGTTCATGTATCTTACGTCAAATGTAACACTATTACATTCAGATTAATAAGTTTAATTTATTCGTGTTATATTCTGTTTTGATTTTTTGAGAACGCTTTTGACATCTGTTCACAGTCTCAAGGTTCTTGTGTATTATTGATTGCCTTTTGCACAGATTTATTCTTATCTTTATTAATGATCAAGACTAATGATAATGATAAAGATAAGGATCAGCTTGCAAATAATATTGTCCAATGAAATTAAGAAACGGTTTGAATTCGACAACGACGCAAACGTGCTCAGCAAGATGTAAATGATGAAAAAAATTTCTTCCCACAAAAACTGAAAAGAATTTAATTTTCATTATCAGTTTAACATATCATTCTACTTGTTATTACTTAAATTGTAAAAGTTTTATATTAACGTGAAAGCAATCATAAATTGAATGGTGAGCCACCATATAGCACTGGTACTCACACTTCGATACGTTAATTTTAAAAAATGTTAGATTTTGATGCATCATAAATTGAATGGTGAGCCACTATATAGCACCGATACTGACATTTCGATATGTTAATTCTAAAAAATGTTAGATTTTGGCACGTTAGAACACGTTTTGATATTAAATAATATTTTTAATTTATGTAGTGTATATTATATTTAATATTCAATAATTTAACAAAAAAATAAAACTAAACTTATAATATTAATATTAAACTTAATAAAATGGTAATCGAAATTCAACGAATCTAATACTTGAAACTAAAAACTCAACGCAATGCAATCTTTGAACTTTTTCTTGAATTTTTATAACACGTGTTAGAGTGTCGGGGAGTGTCGAAAAATGTCGGACCCGACACATCAGAGGTTTTTGAAGTGTCGGTGCTTTATAGACTAGCCATATCATACAACCGTACAAAGGGTTGTAGTTCCTCCTTCGCTAAGTATTTTGCAAGGAAGCCTCAAATCTGCAATACTCGAAGATGTGAACGTGCAGATTCCAAAACAAAAATCATAAGACAAATTTAGGTGCTGAGGTAGGTACGGGTTTTATTTTCCTCCTAAAATATCATCTTTAATATAAGATTCTTTCTAGCCGAACAATATGTGTCGGTATATCTGTTGACATGACAAACATATTTGTTTGTTGTGGCCATTGAAAATATAGGATTTTTAAAGGCCTGATTCAATTTTATTTTATTTTTGAATACCTACACTGTAATTTGATCTAACAATATATAACAAAAACTGCCAACGAGAAACCAGCAGCCACGTGGTGCTTGTGGGCGAATTAGGTACTTGCCCTACGTATCAAACTAAAATTTCCATAGGATCCGACCATGATTCACGGAAATATGGAAAGTTCGTGAAAACTCTTTTAACACGTTAACCAGATTCAAGACTTATCCAACACCATATTACACTTGCATTGAAAAACAATATCTTCAATAATGAAACCGTAATTACGTAAAACTTATGAAGCTTCTTCAACTTCATTATGATATGCTACGGAAGCATACTATCTATAAGAGAGAACGAAAAGAAAATCATCATTCATCATTAGTGACAAAAATAAACTTGCACTAAACTTTGATTTTGATCCCCACCTCACCCGAAACAACAAAGATATTAAAGTACATTAGCAGACTAGCTAATAAAGATGCCATACATACACATGAAGATGAGTCTTCAAATTAACTAGACCAATTTACATTGCTCTCAGTAAAAAAAAATCCATGGTCTCATCCTTTAAACTGCCATTCCCGACGGCACATGGGGCAATGCGCTTGTGATGTCTGAGAATTCACCCATTTCAAGATACAGTGCAAATGAAATGCGTGATTGCATGCACCCCAAACTGCAAGAAATAGAAAAACAAGTTAGACTAATTACTGATATAAATATTTACAGAATCCTGCAATTTGATCACAGGCATTTTTTTTTATAACTGAAAGGGGCAAAGCCCCAACAACACAAAGACAGAAACAGAAAAACAGACACAAATTACACAAATCAGAAAACAGAAATCAGTGGGGAGGGGGAGTATCAGTTGCTCCAATCAAGTCTTCTTCCAGAAGAGCTGTCAACTCATTAGGCATTAAAGGGAAAGGTCCTTGACCCTTGCACCCTCTCATTAACAAGAGAAGTCAGTCAATCCGCATATTTGTTTCCCTCCTCTCTAGAGATATGATGGAAAGCAGTACACCAATCTTTTTTAATCCATGCTCAAATCTGAGACACATAAGGGGATCTCTCGAGCTTCATAACTCCTTAGAGTAAGCAAAGCTAAAGCCTGAACCGAAACACTTTCAACAATAATATTTCTTCCTCCAGCCCAGGCAAATTCCAAGCCCAAGTTCTGCCTGTTAAGCATTGCAGCTACCTATAAAATGGGAAAATCCTCCCATCCAGATCCCAAAGTGGTCTCGAAGTGGCTTTATTGAACTTCTTAGCTCCATCAATGTTAAGTTTCAACAACAGTTGGGGGGTTTGACCTAGTTAGAGATGTTCCTCAAAGGATGATTAGAAAGTTTAGATTATTTCCGGTCATTTGCTGTGTTGACCTCTTCATGGTACTGGTAGATTTTATTCACCTCATTTGCTGGTCTAGTAAAGTTTTGATCATGGATCTCTTTATTTTTCCATCTCCAAATAAACCAACAAGATATGAAGAATAAGCTTTCCCCGGACATATTGCCAAAACAGTTAAGACAATCCGTGATTGTGTCTATTTGGCTCAAAGATGCCTCTGCATAGGGGTGTTAACGGGCCGAGCCGAGCCAGGCTTTGGTCTTAAAAGGCCAAGCCTGTATTTAAATGTGTCAGACTGGCCTTATCCTGTAACCTATTACGAATACAATATCGGCCTGTGGCCTGGCTTATTTACAAAAAGTAAAAGCCTGTCTTAGTCTTTTAGCATGTTAAAAAAAAAAAAAGATAACAAAAATTTATCCAAATAGAATATACAATCAACAAAACTAGTAATTTCATAAATATTCATAAATTCAATGTTATCCAAACAGCATAATATAGAACAAAATCATTCAAAATGTCTGTTTAACCAATAAAATGGGGTGAAATTGATTGAGGAGAAAGAGAGGGCTATTACAAGTAGTATAAAAAATATAAAATAAAAAAATATACTAGACAAGCTTGAGAGGCTCTAAGGCCGAGCTTTTGAATTGGAGTCTGAGACCTTTTTATTAAACGAGCTTTTATACAAGTTTAAGCATGATGCCAACAACCAATTTTATACATGTAAGCTCAGGCCTTCACGAGCTGAGCCAAAGGCCCCTGGTTCGTTTAGCACCCCTCTCTGCATAAAGCATATGAGAGATGGGGGGGCCACCCTTTCCGGCTTTCAAGTTTTGCTAGCTGCTTTAGCAGTGATTAGATGAGATAATTTTTCAATGCATAAAACAAAGATATAAGGGGAGACGGGATCCACTTGTCTTAACCCTCTACTCAGGCATTTAACCCATTCGATCCTTGTTACATAGAAAAAGACAGATTATCCATACATTAATGCAACAATTTTTTATGTTGGAAAAGGGGGAGAGGGGGGTGTTACACATCATGGTAATGGCTAACTGCCAAGCAAGATTTTATAGCCCATAATATAATTATGTCATCCTACTGCTTTCTTGAAATATTCTCAATTCTGCAGGAATGCTTCATATTCCTTGGGCATAAAGCTTTATATATAGTCATCAATCATCATGCATGCCAGCAACAACATCATCTTTGCAGCAGTTCAACACATTCAATCAGGGGAACTAGAGAACTTTAAACTTATATAGCATTACAAATATGGAACTGCAAATGATGTTAAGAGGTATCCTAACCTATCTGCAGTCAGGAAAATTAGAAAATCCTAACACTATAATCCTAGAAACTTATAAACAAAGCCTAAAAACTTTATCCACACCACAATACCACATTGATTGTTAGTTGCATAAGGCCCACGTTGTGGTAGCTGTATCAAACTAACTACTGAAAATCGTTTTCTGAAGCTTCCTTAAGACCCCGCATTAGAACTGCAGTCCACACAACTTCATGTAGTAAAAAGAAGCAACTACAAGAATAAATTCACATGCATTGTACACTGTGCATTCGAGTTCACTAGTGATTGAGTAGCATGGAACTCCCAAATACAAAGATAAATTAAGAAGTTCAACCAAGGCAATTTGCTGCGAATATAATAACAATGAAAGTCGCCATATAATATTATCAGAAGCTTACTCAGTGGGCAGTCATCCCCAGGAAGTTTACAGTCAGGACAACATCCATCAAAGGCCATCCTACAAATCCCACATGTTTCATCCTGGGCATCCCAAGTCCACGAAGCAACAGCATGCCATCTATATTTGACAAAAGGGAATGAGGACATTTAGAATGCACTCGATTTAGTAGCAAATGAATAAATACACATCAGGGAAGCTGAAAATTTGGAAACAAAATTTTATACATTCCCTAGGTACAAAAGAAATTTGGAGCAATTAAAAAAGTGCAATGTAACTTAATTTCACACCACCGATACAACTTTTGTCATCCTCACAACTACCACCAACAGAAAAACCAAAACCTTTCCATCCCACTACATTTTCAACCCCCCTCTCTCCTTTTGCCTATTTCCCACCTTTTCCTTCCAAGCAATTGAAAATTCAATGCAACTCATCCTCACTGCAGACACACAATTTTTGTCCTATCCTCCCACAGCATGAAAGTAAGCTGAAAATGACTTGCCACCCTCAAGAGCGAAAGTCAAGTCATTTCCATCTCACTTCATTTTCACTCCCCTCCTTATTTCTCCACTTTCTCTAACAAGCACAACCTTAATTATTCAACAGATATGGTAATATAAACATACCAGAAAGTTTCAGTTATTGAAAGACATACTGAGCACAACAAGTTCATCATTGTATAAAAATTATGTTGAAGATAAAAAAGAGAGAACATACTCTTTTTAGAAGATCAGCAGATATCCAGGCAGAGAGACCTTAGTCAAGAAAAACATATTTTTTTTTTCTGCAAATACCCAATTATTGATATATTGACAAAAAATATGCTGAAAGTAAAAGCATGAAAGTTTGAAAACATACAACACAGTGAAGCAAAGTCACAAACACGTAAAATGCAAAAGCAATAAAACGAACGATTGACAGATGAAAGGTGAAAATGAAGAGGGATGGGATTTAAGAAGGATACGCAAGATCTTGACTTTCATCTCCGTACCAAGCAATAGGAAATAGGAAATAGATGATGAGGGTAGGGTAGGGTTTGTGCGAATGCGAATTGGAGACGAAGATTTGGAAAAATTTGAAATGGAGAAGAGGGTGAGTCTATGATGCGCCTTCAATTAACGTGCGCCGTTGTAACTCTGATCGTAAACCGTTAGATAAAAATCGAAACTGAAGCCGTTAGATTTTGGGTTCGGATCATTTGTAATGGGTTGTGTTAAATTGAATGTATATAAAAACGACACTCTGTGATCAGATGAGGGGAGTTATAAAAATAAAATGGGTACGCATATAATAAAAAAGAATTAGTGTTTATCTTTTTAAAAATATAAAATTATGTTATTTCAAGTAAAAATAATAATAATTTATACAATGAAAATCATATTGGAAGAGAGTGAGGGATTTTATTTTTAACTGAAATAAATCATTCTTTAAAAGGATAAATTTTTTCTATTAAAAAAATTATTTTTATTTATTTATTTTTGATAAATTCCAATATAATTTAGGGTTCTAATTTTCAAAACCAAGAGAAATTTGTGTTTGAGTTCATTCTCAAGTGGGTAAAAGTTAATCACTAAATTACATAACTTTAGTTATTATATTACTTTTATTTATATATTTATTACATTTTTTCACATAAATTCAACAGAAATACTTTTCTTATGTTGTAGGAAAATAGTTACCTCATGTTGTAAGAATAAAATTACAAGTGAGACCCACAGATAAAAGGAGAAAAAAACAGAGGCAAGACTCATCCCTCTTTTATGTGTGTAAAAAATTTATTTTTTTCGTGTAAAATGAAATAAATATAACTCTAAATTCAATTCAACTTGTTTAACTAGTTACTTATTAATTCGATATACGGAGTAATAACTGGTTCCAATTTTACAACACTAATATCAACACAACATCGGAGAAAATAGTAATTGATACACATTTTATTCGTATCATGTTGTGCCATATCAATCACATAGTAAGAAAAACATTTTGAAAGCTGATCACCGAATGAAACATTTTTAATTCACCAGATGGTGGTAGCTCAGTTGGCGCATGGGAGCTAAGTAGATGAGGATGAGAACATGTGTTCGAATCTTCCTAGTACCACCTTTGGGAAGGGTTTAAAGCTTTAATCCTGGACCCGCCCCGAATCGGATTAGTTGCGAAGCAATGAACCGATTGGAATACTTAAAAAAAAAAACATTTTTAATTCTAATCTGAAACTATAATTTCCACAACAACTCTAATCATGAGACTTTGCCATAAATATGAAAATAATGCTGGAAGGTATCATATAAGATCATTAAATTATCGGTAGGCAGTCGTCCCGAGAGTTCGAATCAGAATATCCATCAAAGAGAGTGCCACAAATCCAGCATGTTTCATCCGGGTAACGGTTATCTCTAACCCATGAAGCAAAACCATGCCATGACATAAACACAAGGGACAATAAAGTCAACAACAGTAAACAGAGAGAGAGAGAGAGTAATTCAACAGATATGGAAGTAGGGGTGGCAATACGTGTCAACCCGGCACGACACGCGCCCAACACGTGAATAACTCGACACGACCCGGACACGACACGTTTTATAAAAGGGTCAAAAAAATGAACCCGGGCACGGCCCGCTGCGGGTCACGGGTCGACACGACACGACCCGCAAAATTTAAATTTTTTAAAAAAATGCGATTTTTTAAAATTAAATAAATTAAATACAATCAAAAATAAAAAAATAAGACTAGCTTCTGATTTATGAGATTTTTTGTTCCTTCTATGTAAATGACACAAATATTCTTAATAGCTATATTATCTTATTATCTATTTATTGTGACACAAATATGCACCTAAAGTAAATAATAATAATAATAATAACATACATAATAAACCAAAATAAAATAATAATAAAAAACATGATGAGTTCAATTTCATGAATTGTCATCTACCTGAAAAACATCAACAACCTTAAATAATCCAAAAGAGAATATAACAAATATCATCAACATCATAATTTCATCCTACCATCATCAATCTAAATATCTCATGGCTAGTGCAAAGTACAAACTAATCAAAATAAAATTATACAATAAATATTATAAATTAAACACAAATTCCATTAAACACTAGTTTATGAATCAAGTTCGTTTTAGGGTTCCTCCACCATCAAGTCCTTCATCAAGTCTTCAGTTAAATCTTCCACAGGTAAAATTTCACCATATATTATAAAACAAGTAATAAAAATAATTAGAGCAAAAAATTATATAGCCAAAGATATCATCACAACCATAAATAAGATAAAAAATATTACCAATGGCTCCATAAAGCCAATTTCTAGTGCAAATTAAAGCCTCCACTGCATCATGTAAGAGAGAACTTCTATATTGGTCTAGAACTCTTCCCCCAACACTGAAAGCACTTTCAGAAGCAACACTAGAGATAGGTATGCCAAATATATCTCTGGCCATCGAAGCAACTTGTGGATACCTGTATTGATTACCCTTCCAATATGCTAATACATCTAATTTGAGCTTTGCATCAACCCTTCGCTCATCTAGGTATAGCTCAAGTTGTGACTTTAGGGGCACAGTAACAACATTAGAAGACATGAATTCCTAATAAAATTAAACAAAAAACAAAAACAAATTAAGTTAAGTTAAAGTAAAAAAGAAAGAAATAAAGCAACAAATAAAATAGAAGGTGATATAATAATATGTCAACTTACACTTAAGACATCATCATCAACCTCTAAGAATGAAGCTAAGCTAGGATCAGTGGTTGCACTTGAACCTCCTGTGTGTTGTGTTGAGGAAGATATTGAAGAAGGATCAGGTCCATGTTTTGCATACTCATTAAACAACTTGAACAACTGGCTATTCACCTTTCCATTTTCTTGGATTGCAGAAGTTTCATCAAACAACTTTCCGTAACAGAATTCAATAAAATTCATCTTATACCTAGGGTCCAAAACACATGCTATGGCCAAGACCGTACTATATTGGGACCAATACTTGTTGAATTTATTGAACATCTTTGTAGCCATCTCCCTAATATAATCATCAGCACTTTGCAAAACATTGTGTAATGTCAAGTGTGCTTTAAATACCAAGGGAAAATACAGATTAGCTGTTGCATACTTAGTGCCAGAGAATATACAAGTAATTTCATAAAAAACCTGAAGAAACTTGTTGATCTTTTCAATCCTTTCCCATTCTTCTATAGATGGACAATGCTTATAGTTAGAATCAGTCAATCTAAGATGCGCAAAAGCACGTTTATAATACAAAGCACTGTTAAGCATGATAAATGTTGAATTCCACCTAGTAGGAACATCTTGCCTCAAACCCTTCTTAGATAAAATTGAACTTTGAGTGACACATTCAAAAAAAATTTCTTTCCTACCTTGTGAACCCCTCAAATATTTAATACTTTCCCTCACTTTTAGAATTGAAGTGTCAACCTCTTTCAAACCATCCTGAACAATCAAATTTAGAACATGAGCACAACAACGCAGATGGAAAATTTTTCCAGCACACAAAAGTCCATCATTAAGCCTTAATTGACCACTCAAGAACTCAACACTTGAATCATTTGCAGATGCATTGTCCAATGTCATTGAAAATATCTTCTTTTCTAAGCCCCATTCTATAAAAAAAGTGTGTATTTTTTTAGCGAAGGAAATTCCATTATGAGGAGGAGACATATGACTAAAATTCAAAATTCTTTTCTGGATTTGCCAACCACGATCCACAAAATGTGATGTCAAACAAATAAAACCATCCGTGTTTATAGAAGTCCACAAGTCAGAAGTTAAACTTACCCTACTTGAGTTTCCCCTCAACAAAGCATGCAATCTTTCTTTCTCTTTCTTATACATTTTTAGACAGTCAGCCCTCACAGTGTTCCTAGTGATTAGATTTAAATCTCCTGGCAAGAACAGAAGTAAATTCTTAATTCCTGGCAGTTCAGCAAACTGAAATGGAAAGTCATGCATAATAATTGCTTGAACCAACAACTCTCTAAATCTATCATAATCAAATCTAGGACAAATAGATATAGAGTTACTAGAAGTAGAAAGCATGCACTGTCCAACATCTCTGCTATCCCTTTTAACACACTTATCTATATGCCTTCTCATGTTACCAGTTCCATAGCTAGGGTCTGATATATATGTCGTTCCACAATGTTTGCACTTGCAGTGGTCTTTCTCACCATCTGTGGTTGCTGGAATATGATCAAAATGGTTCCATACTTGTGATGTGAACTTCTTCCTTTTCTTTGCTGGACCTGCAACATCTAAATCACCAACACTGTCATATGCCTCATCTTATAGAGTGTTAAGCTCAGAGTCACCAACATCCAGCTCTTCCTCTTCCATTTTGTAAACCTGTCAAAAGACAAAAGAACCTGAAACTCTTAGGTTCTGTACAAAGCTAATCATATTTTCCTAAAAGCTGAAACTTTGTAAATGTCAAAAAGATAGTTGGCTTTTAATGTTTTTAGAAGCTAGAATCTGACTTCTAAAAAAATATTATTTTAACTTTTATTTAATCTTTTTTTTTTTAAATTGTTATCCAAATGCATAAAAAACAGAAAGGATTAAAAAAAAAACTATCTTGTGTGCAGTTTCCTGTAAACCCTCTTCTTTAAGAAACTGTAAGATTAAGAATACAAGCTCTTGACTCAGAACAAACTTATCCATAACAGACCTGTTTGTTTTTTCAGATTACCAACTCAGCACAACCAGAAAAATCATAACTTTTTTTGTCAAATCAAATACTAACAAATGCAATCGCTACAACTTTGCTTTATAAAAACGAAAGACCAATTGGCCAGCAAAAAAACAAAATGAAAGAGTGGGGTTCTTCAAAAATTCAGTCCTTTTTTCTTTGCCCCCAACATGCAACCTCAGAAGAACAGAGTTTGGGCTTTTGATTATGGAAAATAGATTCCACAATCACAAGTAAAGGTAAATTAAAGAACACACCAATCAGATCCCAAAACATTACTATTGAACGGTCAAATTGAAAAAGGTTGGGGCAATTGGATTGACAAATATCATGGCATAATGGGATCTCCTCTGTGACCACCACCATCGCATTTTTGGTTGGAGATGGCCAAAAAGAAACAAAAAAGTTTCTCCTTTGTTTATTCTAAGAGCAAAATAAAACAAAAAAAATGGCTCCTGAAAAAGACAG